CCAGCATTGTAAATTTCTGATAGAAAAATTGCATCCATTTTGCATAGGTACTGTACTTTATCTTATATGATATAAGTACTACAAAATGTACGTATGATTACCATAGATTTGTATAAATGTATAATAATACAATAGTATAATAATATCTACAATAGAATAATAACCATAATCCTATATGATGATAACAGTTTATTTTTAGGTATTTTATACTAAATTTGTATTATGCCCCATTGGACATTAATAAGACTTAAATTTTCAATTGGTATAATATGCATGGTGTCATAATAACGTTAAATAATGCAAACATGATGGTTTACCATTTTACCAAAGTTTAACGGAATCTAATTATATTAATAGCATTAATAGTTTGATTATATTTAAAGATCACGGGTCTTTGGTCACATTGGCCCCCCAACCGAAAAATAATTTTCCGGGGAAAAGTATGAGGTTCCAAATTCGGATAACTAGGTTCCAATTAGTTACAAATAAGTTCCAAAATATTGGTGAAGATTTGAAGTGGATATTACAAAGTTGGGGGAGGGCTACGTGATGTTGGGCCCCCACCGAAAAATAATTTTCCCGAGATAAGTATGAGGTTCCAAATTCTGAAAACTAGGTTCCAATTAGCTCCAAATAAGTTCCAAAATATTGGTGGAGATTTTAAGTGGATATGACAAAGTGGGGGGCTACGTGAAGGTGGCCCCCCAACTGAAAAATAATTTTCCCGGGAAAAGTATGAGGTTTCAAATTCGGAAAACTAGGTTCCAATTAGTTCCAAATAAGTTCCAAAATATTGGTGAAGGTTCGAGGACGATGCGACAAAGTGGGGGGCCAACTTCACGCAACTGGTCCGTGGCACTACAGCTTGATGCCACCATGCCCTGTTACACGCGCCATTTTTAATCTACCGCACGCCGTGTCGATTCCCAAAAGGAGTTTGAACCTTGTTGACCTATAGAAGTTAATGCTTTGGTTACATCATTTCTCCATTGTCCTCTTATAAGTCTACCATTTTCGTATCTATCAACTAATGAGACTGGGCAGAACTGAGATTCGCCTAAAAAACGAACAATTATTTACCATCAAATAGGTTAGTTAGGTAAATTAGTTTAAGTTAAACATTCTTATTAAGATGAACAATTTTAAACAATGTTTACATTTTCTAATTACAAATTTTAATAAAATATTAGTACCTGTGTTTTATCAGATATTCTAACAAAATTGTGTAAGACAACTGCATCTTTGGGTATTGCTATAACAGTCTTCTCACTTTCTATTATAGTTGATCGAAATACTCTCCATTTGCTAGCCAATATACCAAAGGCATTTTCGATTATTAGCCTTGCACGTCTAAGTCTAATAATTAAATGATTTATTTATATACAGTAGAAATCACTATAACGAGCATCGCTTAGAACGAGATACTGCTTACAACAAGCAAAACGTTAGGTCCCGGCACGAGCACATATGATTGCACGTTAAAATATACGTTTACAACGAGTATGGTTATTACGAGTTATCGGCTATAACGAGTTAAATAAAGCTAACTGGACTAACGACCTTCCGGTTACTACGAACAAGTACCTGCAAGATAATAACTATTTTCGTATTTAAGTCGATTAATTATTGACATACATTATCTTTAGTTGTGTAGATATGGATTACTTATTAATAATAAACATTATTCTTCATATTCTGGTGTTTTCAAGTTAATAAAAATTACAAACAACAAAGTTCGATCAAAGATTATTTTAAGAAATTAAATCAAAATTAAATTAATTCAAGTGTTTTATAATTATGTATTAAATCTCCAATTATAATAATAAATGTATGTATTAATGTATAAATTATGTATGTACATGCAAGTATAATTTAATCTCAAATAAAAATTTTGTATCTAAAATAAAAAAAGTCGTCGGTTTTATTTTTGTATTTCCGCTAACCTTTTAATCGGTTACAATGAATGTTCGTTCTAACCGCATATTACGAGCTACCGGTTATAACGAGAAAAACTAGCTGGCCCTTGAAACTCATTATAACCAATTTCTACTGTATTCAAATTTAACATATTGTATATGAATACTTTTTAGTTGTAACCTATGGTTAAAAATGGTTTGATCTTCAGGTAAATTTCCTTTTGATCTACCTGGATATGGTTTCATAACCTTTGTTAGTAAAGGAAATGCTTCATCAGCAACAACACAATATGGTATGGACCATTTTCATCATAAATTTCAATATCATCGGGAAAATCGATTGTTTTATTAATTATTTGTCTACCCCAACTGCAATTTCAAAAAACACCATCATCACTACATCTGCCTGGAGCTTCTATGTCAACTAAAGTCAAGCAATATGATACATCAAAAACAGCTAAAAGAATAATACCATGGGTCCTTTTATAGTTGTAGTTAGTAGATCCATTGTTTGCAAATGTCTATTAAATTAATAACTATTGTTAAATAAATATACCAGTTATGTGTACTTTTAAAATATATATTTTTAGAATGAACCTGATGAACAACATGTTTGCCATCAATACTCCCAACACAATTTGGAAAATTCCACTTAATATTAAATTCATTGGCTATAGATATCCAATTTTCAGTTTGTGGGTTCATTAGTAATTAGTAATTTATGATTTAAAACACAGAAATAAAAATCTGCTATTAAAAAAAATAATGTTTTTACTATTGAAGTATAAAAAATACAGCATAAATAAATGCTTTTAGTATTTTACAGTGGGTAGGTACCTATTCCTATTGTGTTGAGAATGCTACTGAAGTCTGCTAATTTATTTATTACTATCTTGTACAATGTAATCCTTCAAAATAGCAGTTATTATTATTATTTTTCTTTTATCCAATTTTAATTGCTTGTGAAACATTTCTATTCTTATATCATATTTCCGTTTAGACATTTTTATAATTATTGCTTTTCAATTTTTTGAAAAATATTTTAATAATTATTGCATTTCACGAATATGCTAAATAATTAAAGGAATATGGCATTTCAATTTTTATGAAAAATATTTTAGGAATATTATTGCATTTAAATGACATATGTACCGAAGTGACCCCTTTACTACTTAAAATCAATATATTAATCGTTTTACTCAGAATCTAAAAATGTTTATAAGAAAGTCAAACTAAATTTTTATGAGCGTTTAAAGTCAAATGTTTACATTGGATATTCACTCGATTTCTCATGTAGCAATTTTCTTATTTTTTTTTGTAATTCAAAAACGAAACCTGTAGGTACATAAAAATTTCACTGAATGTTTATTTTGCCAATTATCATACTTATTAAAATATTTTGACATGATGGTGGATGAAGGTGACCAAAAGAAAACCGCCTAGTCAGCAGAGCGCTAGTGTGCTGTATGCACGGTGGCAGTTGCCTACTACAAAGCAGATCGCCGTACACTACACATCACAGATTCACAGACCACTGATCTCCGACCCATGGCTTAAAAATGTATCGAAAACTGTTGGAGTGTCTAGCAAGTCAGTCATCTCAAGTCAATATCGATTAACTTAGCCACCTAGTTAGTGACAATGTGCTACAGCAAACAATCAGGTAGTCAATTCACCTGCTGTGGACTGCAGACCCGACGTGGAGCGGCTATAATAGTGAAAACCCTATCACACAACATGAAATAATTTACGAAAAAACAAACTATATACAATATATATACAAACAAATATATGTATTTATAGTATGATGTATAACAATGAACATTTTGAGAAATGTGCAATTATAATTCCTAAAAAAAAATAACATGTATACATAATATTATATGAACTAATACAATTCATATAAACATGTACCTGTAGTGTATAAATATTGCTACCCTGCTGTGGATTGTAGACCCGATGTCTAGCGGCTATAAGTGAAAAGAAAAAATAGTATTTTCCAAAACCCCAATCACACAACATTCGAAATAATTTACGAAAAATAAAACAAATATAATATGTATTTATTGTCCGGTATAATATAACAATGACATTTTAGAGAAAATAATATGTGTTAAATTCCTAATAATTTAAATAACATATAGGTACATAATATTTAATGTAATATTAACCAATAAATATTAACATGTTCCTATATAGTGTATATTATATTATTTATATGAAAAAAAAATATATACTTAACAGCACTATAGGACTTTTCCATCGCGGCCGTTGTGAATGTTTGCAATAGCTTGAAGTGTCTTTAAACCTGGGTTTTTACTAAGTACTTGTTCAACTTTTTTCTTAATTTTTATTTTGACCTGCCTCTTTTGATTTGCTGACGGTGTTAGAGACAATAGTACAATATCCAGGCTATCAGCCGGAGACAAGTTTTGAGCTTCGAGTTTCATAATAGATTGGCAAGGAATGTAGTATTGGAGAATATGTACACTAAATTATTTTTCAATGAGGTACCTACTTGTAATTAATTTTTTTTCATTTTCTACTGAAACAGCATCTATTTCAAGTTTGGAAATCACATTTTCAATGACACTAAAATTGTCGCAATAATATGCAGCAGCTTGTAACCAAGTACCCCAGTAAGTATCACTGGGCTCTATGGGAAGAGGTGGGTAATTTTCTTTAAATGAATTTGCGCAACTAGGTGCTATAAGGAACATTTTTTTTTTTATAGTTGATTAAGTTAAAATCAACTTCGGAAAGTTCTGGGGGTCTATCCTCGAAAATAATGACCAAACGTATACGGTATTACTCGTACACGAGCAGTTCGATACCTTTGCTCGTCTACGTTCATCATCTCGTATTCTTGAACAGCGTACGAGTAATGAAAACAACCGATTCGTATACGAATAACTCGAACGTACGAAATATTAAAAATGTAGTTGGTAACTCTGTAAAATGTCTATCTTATCACAGTTTTTTGGCGGGTTTTGAAAATATTTTGTACGTTATCACAGCCGATCACCGTATAGTTTTAGCACAGAATTTTATTATGGTTTATGGTAATGACCAATGATTATGCCATTATGGAAAAATTGCTATATGTGTACAATCGATGCAACCTATAACGCCCGGTACACCAATTTTTTCGTAAAATCTAGATATTATTAAAGAGTTAAATTTATAGTAGGTAGGTACGTTTAAATCGTAATTGATTATCAATTATTATGAATATAGGCCGTAGGGTAGATATGTCGTATGAGTAAAGACAGATATTATATTACCACCTAGGTATTTTTTGGTATTAAGTCGGTCAAATTAATTCAAGTAAACATTCTAAAAACATTTGAATTTAGCATAAAGTCTAAATAAGATCAGTTTTGCACATCAGAGATCCTGAAGGTGTCTGAACATACGTGGATAGTTTCTCACCTTCTAAAACACGGGAAGGGGGAACATATTATTTCGTCCACCAAAAAAATGTAGCTCAAACTATATAAAGGTAATAAAATAATAAGTATAATAAGTACCTATTTAAATTGACCACCCTTGATTAAGCATTTTAGCTCCAGCATTTCTACTACCTGTGCCTCTGTTACACAGTAATGTTAATATTGATAGGTACCTGATTTACTGAACCTACTTATTCTCATTTCTCACAAATTTTGTTCTGCGTTATGTTGTCTAAACACGACAAATATGAAACGGTCAGTACCCAAGACCATGAACCTTGAAGTAAAAATAATTTAGGTATTATATTTACCCTCTTCTGATAGTATTCAGTTTCTCAAATGAATCTGGGAAATGAACATACCGCTTGACAACATCGGACATATTCATTGCATCGGTAACCTCAGTTATGCACCTACTTACAGAAGCTTGGCTTAAGCCTGAAGACCTGTTGTCTCCTATATCAAGTTGATATGATCCACTTGCGAAAAATCGCAATGCTGTCAAAACCTTTCAATAAATTAAAATTGTACATCAAATTGATTGAAAATTTATATTGGATACTATAGGTACTTACATACTTTAAGCATAGAAAAATAACTAATTAATCTATACCTTTCTTTCTATTGAAATTGATGTTTTTCTTGTTTGTTCAGACATAAATGGCGTTAATACTTCAATAAGTTCGCCAGCCAACTCTTTACTAAGCCGAAATTTTTTAATGAACTGTTTATCAGATAGCTCTAAAATTGAATAAGGGCAATAATAGTTAATAATAAATATGGCAGCTGGTAAGAAACATGATTTGTTAAAGTAATTTTTGATAGTTGTAGACAAAAAATTATGAATTGCAGCTGTTATTTTTAATTCAAATACAGTGCCGCATATACCTCAGTGGCAAAGCGTCGGTAAAATATCTCCCTAGCGTAGGGTTTAGGACACCCCAACATTCTCATAGTTTTTATAGTATTATATGCTTTAATTAAATAACTGCAGGTAGGTAACTCCTAAAATTGTAAGGAAAACTAGAATTTGCATTATTCCACATAGGTCAGTGGCGTAGACAAGATTTCTGAAAGGGGGGATCAAAAAAATAAAATGACATAGCTAAATGGGAGGGAATAATTGGAAAATCCTCAACCCCCAAAACTTTTTACTAATTTATTTTAGGTGTTTTAGTTTATTACTTTTACTTATATCTACACATTCAATCTGTGTTTCGGGTGCCTGCCTAGAATCGTACTACCGTAGTAGCAGCGACGCAGCTCTGAATTCAAATATAATATAGGTATATAATTGTACAATATTATATTTTTTTTTTACTGCAGTCATATCTATTTAAATTATTTAATGGATGTATACAGATACTATAAGTCAATAGATGCCGTATTAAATTTGAAATAAATTGTGAATATTGCTTAGAATTAATAATAATTTTTGTAATATAAAAAAGGACATAATAATACTGTCGGTTAATAGGACAACTGATGTAACCCTCAAATATGAAATTTTACAAGAGGCACTAAAATAAAGTTATTTTGTAATCCTTATGACCTACATTGTTGAATTTTTTTTTTAAAGACTTAAGCTTGGTATACTTATGTATCAATATTATGCTTACCACGCTACATCCAATGTAATTTATTGTATATTACTCCAAAGTTGACTAGCCTGTTGGATACATTTGTTCGCGCCCCGACCTAGGTGCCACTGGCTAACGTTCTTTTGCCAGTGTTGGCGATACTGAGTATGGACGCCTTTCGACATTCACTGCCGTCTCACTTCAACGTCGGTGTCGAGTCTGTTCACTGTCAGTTCGACTTAGTACCGTTTGTTGCTAGTTGTTTTTTTTGGTTTATGCGTATACAATACATGTGGTTATTATTATGGAAAGTTATATTATGATATTAAGTATATTATGAAAAGTTATTGCAAAAGTTATTTGTGACAAAAGCTCACATCTTAGCCAGTTCGGTACTGATACAGCTGAAGTGCTGTATACATTCTTTTGCAAGATACACGTGGTCAGTTCATCCACACCTGCCAGTTCGGTCAAACCAACCAGTCAGCTCGACACCTCAAGATTATCCAGATTCATCCTCGTCATCAGCCGCTCCGCATTTCCCTATTTTATGTCATGTAATTGTAATGAGCAATTCCATAATAATTTTAAAAATATTTATATTGTTTTTATTGGTAAGTTGTTTAAAGTAGGTGGATTGGCCGTCCCCTAGCAAGTTGTATAATATATATATTATGGATATTTTTCATGTAATAAAAATAATGATGGTTTGTTAATTAATGTTATAATTTCAGTAATTACCTTTTCCTTGAGTGGTGCGAGTCGTAGGTGCCAACCTTGATATAAGGAGTGCTGTCGGCGTAAACATACTTTACTTGGCGTTTCATAATATTAATTATTGTGGGTTAATGTTTTTTATGGTGATGGTTACTACAATTGGCACTTAACAAAAAAAAACCCAAATAATGTAACCCTCAATTAAAGTTTTATTAAATTATACCTAATGTACCTATACAATATTAATAATTATTAAAAAATATATATTACAAATAGTAACTATGTTGACTCAATAAAAATTATTATTTAACACAATATGCCAATTAAAATTTAAAATAATATAAAAACAGTTTAAAATTAAAAACAATATAAATAATTATTAAAAACAAAATAATAATAGTTAACCTTTTGACTCAATACAAGTTATTTAATATTTAACAAAATATGTTAAATTCAAATTTAAAATAATATAAAACAATAAACATTTTTCAATACTCAGTAGGATCAGTCTCTAAAATAATAATATTATTGTCTTCTTCATCAGTCTCTCCTAACACATCATCTACATTTTCATTTCTTTTCAATGATTTAAATTCTTTATAATACCTATTTGGTATCACACCACTATTGCAAAGTTTTGACAAATCATTATACTTTGTCACTGATATAGGTAGTTTGTTGTTGAATGCTGGTTGGAGTTCTAGGGTTTTATAATTATTTCCTTTTGATCCCCTTCGTTGTTTTGGTTGTTTAATTGTAACTGTTAGAGACTTAGACTTAGAACTTAGAAGTGAAATGGGAATACTGAATTTAATATTTATGAAATATAGATAAGTGATTATTATGAGCACATGGCCATGATCGACGTGATCAAATATTATCTATTCTTTATGGCCGTTATATACACCACATAATACCAACTTCACCGTATTAAATTATAATGTTATCACATAATCAGTTATATCACTTGATTAGTAAATACAACAACCGTGTTATAATAATAAAATACTAAATTGATAAAAACAAAATTAATTCAATAAATTAGTTTAAGTGAGAATGTGGGATACACTAATTGGCTAGTTCAACTGTAGATTCGGTATAAGTTTTGTGTAGGGTTACGTTGTAGCTTACACTAGTTGGCCTACAAACATTTAATTGGATACACAATTTCGGGTAACCCTCGTGGCTTACGTTATTTGACATTTGATTTTCGATGTGGCTTACATCAAAAAAAATAATTTATAAGTGAATTTTAGGTTAGAAAAATGCTTGTGAGGGTTACAATATTTGGCCAAAATGTGTATTTATATCTATATAATTCAATTCAATCAAAACATCGATTTCGTAAAAAGTGAGGGTTACATCAATTGTCCTATTAACCGACGATACTATCAATAGGTAGGTACCTATATTATATTGAACGAACCTTCAAAAACATTTTGAGCTTGGTAAAATCGACGAAGATGATTATTAGCTTCTAATTCAACAAACTGCTGTAAAAGCATCATTTATTCAAATTCTTGAAAAGCCATCGTTTAAATTCGGGTTTACGCAACTATAGTAAGTAAATAAATTACTTGAATCAATAACGAAAAATTAAACTATGAAAGGTTATTGAAATTTAAAAACATGCTGAGGTATTTTTTTATTAAATCAATACAATTGAGTACAAATGATAATATCTAAATTTGATAATAAAACGTACGAACACTCAATTCGTATGGGAGATGAGTAACCGTAAGAGAACTACGAATAATTACGTATACGTATTGTACGATATCAATTCAAGAATACGGTTTTTTAATATACTACTTAAAAATGGCGGTTTACGTACGCTTTGGTCGTTCACTTTTCTTACATTACATTCAAGAATAGCCCCCCTGATGTAATTATTTCTGCGACACAATGGAAAGCGAGTACAAGACAGGTCACATGAATTAATTTAGAATAAAATACATGTTAAGCAGTTCCAGCTTTCACCATATAGAGTGCTGTGTCTGATATAAATAAGAGTACTCTTTCATACAAAGTACCATTTGGTCAGAGAATACCCAAAGAATCGTTGAAAAAACGAGCAACTGTTGAATGTTTACATTTTTCAAGAACTTCAGTATTTAATAAATATGGCTTTGAAGCACAATCTGAATTCAATTTACCAACTATTCTATGCCCTGCGTACCTTCTACATCGGTTGTCTCGACCATAGAAACCCAGATGGGTCCACTTGAAATATTTTTCTGATATTAATCAAGTTGTTCTCGTAAAAGTAATGACTAAATAAACAGACGTGATCACCAAAAAACCTATTTTTTCTATCACTGCGCATTTCCCCCAGACTTGGCAGAAACAGTAAAATTCCTATGTAATTGTAGTGGGAATAAAATTTTTTCCAAGAGTGTTCTATGATATTAGTTTTTCTTCCAAGTCTGGGGAAGTATAAAATATGCGTGAAATAATGGTAAAAGTCAGGAAAATAATTCTACCTTAGAGTGCTTGAATTAGGTATAAAGAGGAGACGTTACACTGCTTATGTATTTTTCAAGAAATTAACGAAAATTAATATTATCGATTTCTCGCAATGGTATATCTGCTTTAATTAAAGCTGTGCATAAGTCACTATTAAAAGTTGATTTATTGGACGATGAATTGTTGTACTGTTGTTGTATTTCGCTGTTTATTTTCTTTATGAATTGCGGTTCCTATCGAAGTTGCAACTAACATAAATATATAAAATTCACAGAAGTTGTATAATACATGGTACAATAATTAAAACGAATATAAAATAAATTAATAAAAAAGAATACAATTCTGCATACGCGCGGTATAATGTCGCCATCTTATTCATGTTAAAGTCACTTTGAAAATCTTCATATGGAAATACTTCGGAGTTTAAATAGACTTTCAAGTTTTTAATTTTACAATGATCGAAATATGACATTGCTTTACTTGGGCTATTTTTCCTATCAGTTTGAAATCCGATTATAACATATCGAGGTTTTTCTAACTTGTTGCATGTCTTTACTTTCCACGAATGTGAAGTGTTTTGAGGTAAAAATGGGTATTCACACAGTTCCCACGATTTGAACGTACATGTCAGGGGTTTTTGACTGTTGACTACTTTCAACAGTCGAATTTTTTCTCTATCGCTAACTCTCACTATAGGCATCCGCCACAGAATTTTTGTTATGTTTTTTTTAGCGTCTTTTAGTTTAGGAGCGTCTACGACAGCTTCATTATTTTTATACTGTTTGATGGCATTCATATCAATCGAAGCTCTATTTAATATGAGTTGCTGACTACAGTTTATTAAAATGCGTTTATAATCTTCGCAAAAACCAAACAAATGTTTAAGATTAATACATCCGTTAAAAATACCGCTATCAATAAAATCTTTATTAACATTTTTAAAATCACTGTCCCAGGCAGCGTTTTGGTGTGAGGAAATATTTGTTTTATTGTGCGAACAATATCCTTTTAATGTGGTCGATATACCCGGATTGACGAGTTTCTGAATTTGATTTCCGTTTATTTCATATTTCATTTCGGAGAAAAGAAATGCCAGTCCGTTGTTTATAAATTTAATCTCGTCAGTTATTTCTGTAGGTTTGGTTATTGTTCCCTCGATGTAAATATAACTCTCGCACGGTAAAGTATAAGACTCTGTGTTATGTAAAGCAATACGCTATTTTTCTGACTTCAGTATTTTGTTCGAGGGAAAGTGAACCTAGTTGGTGCATTGGGAAGGTCAAAATGTTGGTTTTTGGTGTAACTCTAAAACAAATGACCGTAGATACATTCGATTTTCAATTCGCATAATATTCTTTACATGATAAAAATTTCAAAATATTTCTCCTTGTTTTGAACTGTTTAGGGTTTAAGACATTTTTATTTTCCTATTTATTAAGTTTTTTTTCTAAGAATATCAATATAATTGTATTTGTTAAAAATTTAATACAAGACTCTTATATACAAATCCATTTTTAAATCCAATTTAAAGTTCAAACGTTGACAAAACACGTAAAAATCACGAAAATGTGCAAATTATTTTAAGTTATAAGTTCATAAAAAATTTTATATTTAAATCTTAGATTTGAAAGTTAAATTAAATTTTCAATTTTGAAGTTACAATACAATAATGTTTAAATTCGTTTACCTCAAACACAAAAATAAACTCTTAATAATAATATACGATAATGTTTAAATGCGTCCTTGCCGGGGCTTAAACAATACAAATAATTATCAAACTTAAGTTATAATTAATGTACCTAAAAGTTGCTGACATAGCTATCTATTTTGTCGCGGTAATAAGTCTAAAAACTAATAATAACAGCCGAACGTTTCGGACAACGGGTTAGTGATAAGAGCATATCAAAATACAATCATAGGTAATCAAAAACATACTTATTGAATTTCGACCATTATAATTAATGGTAGACGGCAATGGTAGGTACGTACAGCGAGTGTTTTTGATGTCTATAATACTAAGATTAGAGACTAAGAAAACTTAAGCTTAAAACTAATTCTGGACAATAAACTTGTAGTTTAAAAATAAAACAGAGATCTAACATTTACCGCCGGATTTTCAACGATCGGCGGTGGTAAAGAACAATGTTCTGTTTCAATAATATCCGCGACGGTTCCCTTAAACAAAAAAATATTATATATATTATTTTCCCTAGTCGAAGGTGGGTAAGTCAAAAAGGCGAACATTTAAACTCGTCGCACGGAATGGTTCAGATAAAACATTACCTATGTCTCGCTATATTAATCACTAGTGATCCCGTGCACTTCGTTGCCCATTAAAATACCAACTAATGATAAATGTTTATTTATAAGAAACGGTTACAAACAGTTTAAACCATTATTTATAATTATGCTTGAACCCGCGTGGCCTATATAACAAAATCTCAAAATCCCTTTGACACGTCCGTGTGGTCCTCTCCCTTTTTTCTCTGCCAGAGATCTAACATGTCTATATGTATAAAATATTGATCCCGACACTACGTGCCCATTAAAATTGCACTCTATATGATATATGTTTTACATAAAACAATAAAAGGTTGCCATGTAATTTATTTAAATTTAATACTATATACCGTAAACAGACACCGAACTGCAGTTGTGTACTGGTGAATCCAATCATCGACGATTCGTTTCCATCTTATGATCGTCGCTGGATTCAATAGTACCAATATCATAAGTAATCGACCAACGACACCGAAGACTGTTATAGGACAACTCCAAAGGGCCGCTTTGCTGGTAGCTTGAACTGGTCTCCTTACCTTTATCCATGATCAATTTTGGGCCCTGTGACAAAATGGTGCCTATGGTATCCTTTGGCCCGGTGGCCCGCTGCCGTTCGGCCTCAGGGATTGCCTTTATACGTTTATGTATACAAATATGGGATAGTGTTCCCTGAAATGCAACCCGGCATAAATGTTCTTTTTGCTGAGAATGGTCATAACTCATAATATATGCAAAGAATTTATTATTATAAGACCATATTATCTACAGTATTATCTACCAGAAGCCATGCTGTGATCTCCACAAATTGTAATATTGCCATTCGTTGTCATCCCGCAATGGGCCAGCCTCGAACACGGCGGACTTATCATCGTTTCCATTTTCGTTGGTCGAGAACGACGGAACGGAACGAGACGGGTGGTTCCCACTGCTGGTAGCTTGAACTGGTCTCCGTATCTTTGTCCATCATAAATTTTGGGCCCTGCGACAAAATGGTGCCTATGGTATCCTTTGGCCCGGTGGCCCGCTGTCGTTCGGCCTCAGGCAGACACTTGGCCACGAAGTCATGTCGGTGCGAAGGCTAGGTATTCACTTTTATTACCATAGTGTATATTATATAATTGTACAACTGTACAAGTATTTTGTATAATTGTACATTAATTTCATTTAATTAATAATATAATATTGTCCAATAAATATATTTTTGAACTATAATAATATGTAAATTGTTGTATTTAAAGAAAACTTAGATTTTTCAAGTGGCCTGGGGTATAGGTCCCGTTCGCCTTGACGGCCACCTTATGGCGGAGCACTATACAAATAACAATTGTTAA